CTGATTTAAATGTCACACCTGAACGCTCACATCCTTTTAATTATGTTTGAAATTATGAACATTGCTCAACATCATGAAAATTAAACCTTATTTTCAATAAGCAATCCTGAAAAATATTTGGGGGTGCTTAACCTTTTTCCAGGTGTATATTATGGACAGCTTAACTGTTGCTTAAGACTCGCCCCCCCAGTAGCACAGTGGTATGTCTGCAGACTTACAATGCTGCCCACTACGGGTTTCAATACCCGTGGTGGGCAGAGCACAGATAGCCCATTGTGTAGCTTTGTGCTTAATTACAAACAAACAAACAAGCTTAAGACTCAACATGTAGGTAACTTAACATGTAGAATTATGCACACACATTTCTATACATTAAAATACTTTTATTTGCGAGCTATTGGCCCTCTTACTGAAACCTTCATCGGGCAACAATGTACTGTTGTTATTGTGGAACATTGCTTTAAAATAGGTATCTAGACAACAGTTGTAACAATAACTGACATCTGGTATTAAAGTTATTAAACATATAGACTTATGATGAATATAGAATATAAATCAATTACTTCAATATAACCATCTTAGTAACCATCCTCTGAACCCATTTCAGTAAGTAAATATCTTTTCCTAGTTAAGAGCATCAAAAATATTCCAAATTAAAACTATGAAAAACAAGTTAATATTTTTATAATCAACATATATATATTCTATAGGAGAGTCAGATTTATCGTATTTGCATACCATTGTGAGAAGTTTTTGAAAAGTTGTTTTTAGAGTAGAGCACAAAGAGCTAAGTAATTCAAAGTTACCTACAATAGGTAACCTGTTGTTTTCAAAAGTTAGAATACATGTGCAGGAGAGGTTCTGTAATCTATTTTCATCATTTTTTGAGTGTGTGAATAAATTTTATTGAATATAAATTTTGTTATTAGAAATAAAGGATTCAAGAGTGTTTCATTTGTATATTATTAAATCTCTTCATGGTTTACTATATGGTCTAAACAAATCTTATTAGAACAATTTCTTTGATTTCTACGGAAAAAGCCCAAATAGAAGCTTTTGCAAAAATACTTCTGAAAATCTCATAAAAGTTTTTTTTTAATATTAATTAGTGATTTTCTGGCTTACAAACACACTGTTTGGGAGATTAATTTTTTTATACAGCTAATATTCCTTGAAAACTACTAATGCTACTTCCACAAAACAAAATAATTTTAAATATTCATTAATACTGTAATACAAACCAAGACAGACTGCTGTGTTACAAAACTGAAATTGCATAACATCTCCATAACAAAATGTGACATTTCCCTTGCACCATCTTATCCGAGTGCGTTTCCCACCTCCACAAGTATGACTACATGAACTCCACTGGGACCACTGTGTGTGGTTCATTTTGTCATCATTACTGGTTACTTCATTCTGAATATAATCTCCAGATGCCAACACATCGTTATTATCTTTGGATGTTTTCTCTTTCATTTTTGGTAGAAATGCTATAGGAATGAAAGTCAAAGATTCTTTATGATTTCATAATTAGATTTCGATGAATTAGCAAAATATACATGGAAATTAACTGATGAAGCCTGAACCAAATATTAGTTCTCATACAGTTTTAATATTATCTAGAACTATCATTAGTTTAGCTTTTTAAATACTAAAGCATGTCTTCTCAAAAATCTTAAATACTGTTGCGTCAGCGAGGTCACGTGACTAGTGTGACGTCACGTTTCTAGAACT